TTTCATGGGATGCATTCAACTGTTCTTTATTCCTCAAGGAAAACACCGTAATTTGCCTAAAACTGTCTCTCTGTGCATAATTAATCGAATCTAATGCGGTCTGCACAAACAATTCTTGCCCTCGGATACGCCACGCACGCGCCTGTGGCTGGCAGTCCTCGAAATTGCGACCCCCTTCCGACCAAAATGCGACCCCTTCGTTCGAACAGTTCGAACGGACGGTTGACCCTGCCTGGACGGCCGCCTGCCCGATGGTCACTTCTTCACGAAAGCTCTGAACGAAAGGAATGAAGGTTTCGTGTCCCTCGAGCGAGGAGGGTCCACTGGACAACTCTTGCACGCGACAGGGACGAATGGAGACGTTGCTGGCGCCCGCTCGGCAGCCTACAATCGCAGGGACTGCAGATGATACAGGTGATGTTGCTCATCGTTCCACTTGCTTTTCTTGGTGAAAAATAAGAGAGTTTTCCGATTTCTTGATTGCCATTGAATCTTTCTGAAAACTCCAAGTGGTAGCTGTATGAGGGGCGTACCTGCGGCGTCAGCTCTTTGGTCATAGATAACTGAGTACTCGAGCATTGGCCAGTCAAATACAACATTGATGAACACCACATCTCGACATCATTGGTGAGAGCATTAGTGACCATTTTTCAACTTGAAGTTCGGTGCTTCGCTTTTAGGAAGAATGCCCTGAGGAACAGATCGCTAGTAGTTGAAGCATCGAAGAATTAGAGCTATAGATTACCTGCAGAATAACCTGCATATGTGCTTCGAGAGAAGCATGTCTCCGATACGAGGTTGTTTCGTATTCTTGAACGCCTTCAATGAATCAGGAAGTGCTCCGCTCGGTGAATCATCGGTTCTCTAATCGAGCTGTATGTATTTCTGCTTTCAAACCTATTCGACCAAAATGGCACTTCTATTTTCAATTTTTTTGCGACCAGAATGAAGAAGATTTCCTAACTTCCTGAGACGAGACACACATCCACTACTTCAGCGACCAGTGGTATACTTTCCACTGCTCTGCAGTCATAATCTCTCCGTAGTCTATGCAATGAGGTCATAATCACTCTGTAGTCACGTGAACAGATGATTGAGGTTATAAGCAGAGCTTCGCTTTACCTCAATCATCTGTTCACGTCCTGTGTCACATCTTGAGAATTCTTTCCTAGGCAGTTCAAAGAAGAATGCACCTTTCTATATCATTTTCTCAGCTACGGAATGAGCCGTTTTTGTTCCAGTCTGAAATCCGTGCGGCGATAGCTAAGCAAATTACGAATCCAGTGAAGTGGGAACAGATCTCTCAGCGAACTACTCCTAACGCCCTGGAAACACCCGCCGCGTGAACGTTCAAAGTGCGACTTAGTAATTCTTATTCTAAAGTGAAACTGACCTTGGCTTTCGTTATAATCCGTTATTGAAATGCTTTGATTGTTGATGTTGATTTCCGACCAAAAGGAGGGGTCATGGTAGGGAAAAAGCTAAACTTTTCAACTTCCGCTGCAGTGAAAGGCAAGAGCACCTAATGTCCTCCTTCTTGTTCTTCTTCATCATCATCATCTTCTTTTTTTCAAGTGTTAGTCCCGCGCAGTTGCAGGGTCGGCTGCTTTGTCACCCGTCATCACCTTGCTCTCTCCAGGGCATCTTCCACCCAGGGTCAACCATCACGTTCGAACATTTTCGGGATTTATGCGACCCCCTTGTCTCTCGGTTAGTCCAGTTGCGACCCCCTGTTTTTGTTAAAAAGGGTGCTAGACATGAATCCGTTGCGCCAGAAAGCGTCTGCCCCGCCAGAAAGCGCCTGCGTGCGGCGTCAGATCCTTGTACCGCGCGCAGGTACACCGGCCGCGCCTGATAAACGTGGACGCGGCCGAAGAAAAATTTTTAGAGGAGAATAACTTTCTTGGGACGTGCTTTTTTGACCTGTTGAGGTAGGTTTTGATTGCGCCTGAGGTGCGCTGTCAGAAAACTACAAGGATTGCCTAACTCTCCGGAAAGTACTCTTGTTAGAAAAGGAATATATCATCCTCAAAAGTCTTAACGATAAGAAGGTGCACCTTCAATTTGAAGGCCCATAATATCTTTCGTATGCGACCTTTTGGAAAGCTGTCAAAAGTTTCAGAAACTTCAAATATTTCTCTATCAAAACAGTATGAAAAGTTTAGTGATTGACCCCTTTTTAAAAAATTTGTCCCGTTCGAACATTTTCCGTGCAAAAGCGAGTTTTTGGCGGATGAACTCACTGCGCTTCGGGCGGCCACTTCAATGCTTATCATTAATCGCGTTAGTACTTAGAGAGCACTTCTCTTGCTAATCGAAGGCACAGGATAAGATATTCAAGTGCAGCGAACTTCATTTCGAGAGTACTTTTGGATAAAGGACCCGGTGGATTTCCTCATCCCATACTGCCCATCCCAGCCACCTGTTTCCTTGCAACAGGTACCACCACTGGGAGCTCCTGCACCCTTAGCCCTTTGCGGAGGTGTCCTTTCTCCTGGTCCAGGACCGTTCCCTTGGGTCATGGCAGGCGGAAATGTGAAAACGTTTCAGGGTTTCTCACCCATTACACCAATATTTATCAGAAGTCTACTTTAAATGAGTCGATTACGTGTCGTGAGCCCTCTAATCCTTATCTTGAGTATTGGAGAAAAAATGGAGTGGCCCCCCCGAACTGGAGTTTCACCGTCTTATGCGTTTAACAGCGTGCTTCCGCTGCCATTTTTACTCGTT